TTTTTTTTTTTTAATAATGTGTTGTTTTGATCAATTTATCTGCTTTGACATTATGGTGCTCGAAATTCATACCTAGTATTTTGAAGCATGACAAGTGTACTACCTATTACAGGTTATTTCTCTTTTGGCATATTTGGTGTATCTTATAGATGGTTACCAGAAGTTTTGGCTTCGTCTGGCATGGGGTTTTGACAGTGAAATTAGCTTCTACTATATATGTGGTAAAGCATTTTGACCATATGTGTGTTGTCGTTTATGTTCAAGAATTTATTTATGCTTGGATTTATTTTATCCCAAAACCATCATCTTCATGATCATTTTGAAATGGTCATACGAAAACTTCTTTGATGTAGATTGAGAAATGGATTCTGTACTCAAGGAAAAGGAAAGTTGGAAAAGAATAAAATCAGTGATGCAATATTTGTAGCCCAAATCTTGGGATTAGTTGGAATCTTAGAGGGTTGATCAGTCACTTTTTTCTTTTTTAAACTCAAAATCCAACTCTCCTCCATATTATCAATAAAATTAAATAATACTCCCTCCTTTTCATAATATGTGTCGCTTTGAGAAGTTGCACAATAATTAAGAACTTTTTTTGGCCAATAATAACCCTCTTTGATGAAAATTAATAACGTGAAAATTAATAGTGAATATGAAAAGATGTAGTGTATTTATTAGCTAAATGAAGTTAATAATGGAAAAATATGTACAAAAGATCCAAGACGTCATTATTTGGTTAATGGTTGATAAAGCTAAAATGACATTTAAAATGAATAGGAGGGTGTACCAATCAATCATCCTCACACACCTCATCAACTTTAATTCACTGTTCATCCAATCACATAATTTTAATTACCCATCACTTCCAATCACCTCTTACTTTTACATCAAATGAACTTTAACCATTTTTTCTAAATATTATTTTAATACAAACTCAAAATCCATTCAAACCTAACCCAACCAACTTTTAACTCTGGTTAACCAACAAATCCAATCAAAACTCGAATAAATTTGTATCCAAGCAACACTTACGATCCATGACTATGAAATCATATCTTACTGTTTCTTTATTATCTTATATAAATAATAATCTTATAAAAGGGAGTCATGAGGGGAAGATTAGGCATTGAGAGAAATAATATTGTTTGCTGGCTTGTAGCTTGGGGGAGATTATTTCCCCTTGGAGAACCTCTTGTTCTTGTCTTCTCTTTTCTACATAATACTCCTTCTTCGGAGTTTTTTCAATACAACACCTGAAAGATAGGTAAACTATCAATTCGAGGCCTGAAAGATTTTTTTCTCAATTCGGGACTTGAATGTTATAAAACTATCAAATTAAGTCTTACAATTAACAACATTCATAAAACCATTAAATTGAAAGTTAATTTTAAGTTTTAAAACACTAAATTTGAAGAAAAATAAAAAATTGTTGCTTACTCACATAAGATAATAAGTAAACATTTGCATAATATAAAAAAAAAAAAACATATTTGGTGTTTTAAAACTTAAAATTAACTCTCAATTTAATGGTTTTGTGAGTGTTGTTAATTGTAGGACTTAATTTGATAGTTTTATAACATTCAGGGTCCCGGATTGAGAAAAAAAAATCTTTCAGGCCCCGAATTGATAGTTTACCTATCTTTCGGGCCTTGTATTGAAAAAACTCCTTTTAGGTTTTGATTCATCACCGCATATATTAACACATCAAAATCAAAGGACGGTTATGAATTCTTCAACACACATGTTTGCAGAATATTTAACCTTGCTATCGCTGCAGCTTTTACAAATTGATGGAGAAGGTTATTGGTGTTAATAAGCTAAAGGCGAACCACGAATCTATTTAATCCATTTGTTATTGTTGTGTAGGAGCATTATTGTTTTTCGCTCTGCTGGGCTTATCTGGTTGCTTTATAACTTGTTACGACAGAAGAGTTCGAAATGATCTGGCGCAGCCTTGTCGAGAACTGTGCCTTTGTTGTTGCCAACCTGGGTATTTTCTCTATCTTGTGACGTATAATTTTCTGCCGTTAAAAATGAAGTTTATCAATATTTGCGACTCGTCAAGTTTGAATGTTGAGAAAAAAATACATTTTTTGTGCCTGCAGTATATGTGCCGATTGCCACTTGCCCGGTACTCTTTGTATGTGGACCGATTGTACCACGTGCTTCGAAGGTTGTGCCAGTGCAGTTGGAGAATGTGGCTGCCTTGGGGGAGCCGGTGAAGCTGGGCTACCTTTACTGTTTATAGTTGCTATAATAGTGCTCGGCTTATTTACCGTAATCGGCATATTTTATAGCGTTTTAGTGGCCACAATGGTCGGGCAGAGGATTTGGCAGCGGCACTACCATATACTTGCCAAAAGGATGCTAACAAAAGTGAGTTTCACAATTAGTCATGACAAAAATTTGCAGTCTTGGTATTTTTTTAATTCTATGCACCACTGTATGATTATTTTTATTTTTTTAATTTTTCATCTCTGTATAAATGTATATAACATTAGTTTTTTGTGTCATGCTCATGTTATTATTGGGAAGAGATTTTGAAGCAAGATTTACCTTATATAAGGTTGATATATAATCTCAACCTCTTAAATTTTTTCAATCTTGAGCTTGACTGGCCTTTTCAATTTTCTAAAACATAGCCTTGTTTCTTGTTTGTTATCTATTAAATTTGTTTTATTTTTAAAATTCATACACTAAAATAGCATAAGTTTAAAGTACATTGGTGTTAGCATGGTGTCGAGCACACAACCATAACCGTAAAATAACACCAGCAATTTGTCCGATGGATCATTTTTACGAAAATATAGAAGGTTGAGTCCGACGTTGCAAATATTTATAGATTGTAGTCGAATTGTGTAAAAGTGTTGAACAACCCTTTTTTTTACTATTATTTTTATAATGTTATTGTACCCAATTATTTCATTTACAGGAGTATGTAGTCGAGGATGTTGATGACGAGATGACGGGAGGCGACTGGTTACCCCCAACACTACCCCCAGAGCACGTTCAGCAGCTTAAAGGGCTTGGCCTTTTATGAGCTCTGATTTGTGGCTAAGTTCCACACGAAACATATTTGCATACTTTAGGAGTGACTTCACATCGTCTTTTTAGGTGAAGTAATCTATGATTTAAATTTGTACGTCGAGAAGTTTCGCCTGATGTTTGATTATTTTTCATAATCTTAAATGAGATGAAGTAATCTATGATTTAATTGACACGAATCGCTGTTTCTTGCATTGCTTGCACTTGAAATGGAAAGAATAAGTTATTAAAGGCATTAGTTCTTTCAAAACAATGCCTTGCCTTGATCTAGAGAATGATCTTTAGTTCATTTGGTGAGGCCTTTTATTCATTACTTTTTTCGGACTTCTGGACATTCTCTATGTTTGTGGGGGTTGCCGATGGTAAGCACCATAAGCTAGCTTATACTTTATTTGGTTAGCTTATACTTTGTTTGGTAGGACGAGCTTTTTCAAAGAGCTCGAGTTTATCTCACGAGCTTATTTGGATAGCTTTTCAAATAAGTCTGTTGAAATTTCTATTTCGGATGGTTTATCAGTTAATTTTACTAAACAATTTTATCATATCATCTAGCTTTTTGACCATAAGCTATCAGCTATAAGCTCGAATTTCACTTATAAGCTATCAACTAGTGCTTTGAAGTGCATGGCTTCGTTATTTTTGTGTTACGCATTTTGTTCGTGTTCTTGTTGTATCCATTTTCTTGTGCTCTTTGTTTGGTGAGTAGGGTTTTTTTTTTTCAAAGGCAAACAATAAAATTTATAACTCAAATGAAAAGTGCGAGTACATCGAGTAATCAAATGACTACGATAATCCACAACAAAGCTACTCAAGGTACACGAGGAAGAAACACAATTCTCCCCCTCAAAGACCAACATGGTCTAACAAGAAAAAAGAAAAAACACTAGAAAAAACACTAGAAAAAAGCAAAAGAAGGAACTCCACAAGCTTCCATTATCTCCCAAATATGATTGTAGCTCAAGTTAGGGTTTGCCAATTCTTCATATGATTGTAGCTCAAGTTAGGTTGATGTCTATTGACTTTTTTATTTTGTTTCGAGCTATAATAGCGTCGTCGTTTGAAATTTAAATTTAAATTAAAAAAAAAAAGAGAGAGAAGAAGAAGAAGAAGAAGACTATGCAGCAAGATTCTAGATAGGGGGAAAGCATGAATGATGAATTTTTAAAATTATTTATGGCATGATGATTATAACTACAATTACTACATTTTGCCACAACATAAACTAAAAATAAGTTTATGTTAAATTTTCGGTGAAGTTATAAAAACAGTTATTACAGATAACAATTACAAATCATTATTGTTAGTGGTGGCCAGTCAACGGGCCAAGGCCCGGCCCGCCGGGCCACGAGCCCTCTAACACATGGCCCGCGACCGGCCTGCTAAGAACCAAGGGCTGGTTCACGGGCCGGGATGGCCCTTAATTTTAACAATGTGCCCCGCCGTCTGACCTGGCCGACCCAGACCGACGGGACCAAAATACAAAAAATTGAAACTGGGAACGAACCGCGACCCTACAAGTCCGGTTCAACGAACCGACCCTTAGGGTACCGGGTTCGACCCGTGGACATGTCTAATTATTGTTATCGTAAGAATATAAGATCTGTAAATATGACCAATTAACAAACTTTTTTTTTTTTAAAAAAACAACAGGAATTCTCATTACCAATAAACACAATACATAGTTCAAAACATCAGACACAATTGCACCACTAAAGCCAAATAAGTAAAATGAAAAAGCCGAAGGCCAGCAGGCCAGGGAGATAAATAAAGAAATATGTTTCAATTAGTGTTAATAGATAAATTATAATTTTATGTTAGATTGGAAATTAAATATGACCAATTAACAAACTTATAAATAAAGAAATATGTTTCAATTAGTATTAATAGATAAATTATAATTTTATGTCAGATTGGAAATTATCAAACGATGATTAATATAATAAATTATATATATAAAATTAGATATCAGATAAAAAGAATATTAAATTTCAAAAAGTAATTGAAATACATTTACATTAGTTTATATAAAAAAGTTATGAAATGAAACAAATAATTTGATTATATAACCAAATTCCAATTGATTAAAAGTACAAAAATGAAATTGTCATTAGAGAAATTGATATAAATACATTGCATTAATATAAAAAGAGGTATCTTTGTATATTTTAGTCAATGTCATGTGTTTTTGTTTGGAATAAATTTCAAGTTGAAATGATATTTGTTAATTGTAAACAAAGAAATTTAAGGGACTAAATTAATTTTGAAAAATATTCATAAAGTACCAGTCAGTTTGAAAGGCAAGTTCTATCGAACAGCAGTTCGACCGACAATATTTTATGGATCAGAGTATTGAGCTACTAAAATGATCAACAAAATGATTTAAAATATTTAAAATTTGAATGAAGATATCTGCTTTGATCGAACACGATGGCGACATGTGATCCAAATAGTGTATACTCCACTTAGTAGAATAAGTAACACCTTGTTGGCTAATTGATCCGTAAATATAAGCATGCTCATAAATACGTCCATTGACAAATTCAAAATATTAAAACTTATCCATAGCAGTTCAAGTTGAAAAAGTTGATAAGAAAACGTACGAAAACTACGTAAAATAAACAAATTGTCAACGAGAGTTAGGTCAACTGGTAATTCATTGACAAAAATAAAACAAATTGTCACAAATACATCGTTTTATTTGTTCATGCACTCATTGAAAATGATGTGATAAATATTCTAAAAAAAAATTAATTATCAATATAAAAAAATTATATACATTTATTTTTATTTATATTTGCTAAATTACTTATTCACGCTGGGGTGGTTCGCGAAATGCAGTTCATGTGCGATTCAGCAGATGTAGACTTGCGGCCCCAGTTTCTGAACTCATGGGTCACGAGTTTCGACCCATTTTCTTGACCCGTGAGTATTATATTTGTTTAGTGTTCAAGATCTCGTAAATTGTCTTATATTTGTATAATAATGATATTTTCTATACTAGAATTGTGAACTTTTCTATACTAAAATATTAATAAATTAAATATCAGTCTAACCGGTTCAACCATCTGACGGACCAGTGATGAACCAAAGAATAGTCGATCTGGTTTCAGAACCTTGGCATTAACATAAGTGAGTATAATAGCCCGATTGACTTTTGCCGAACATCTGATCATTTAATTGCATATTTCGAACCTCTAAGTGCCTTCTTTCCATTATGAATCTTGAGAAACTTAGTTCTCTTTTTTTCTTTCTTTTATTGCACTCTCGTTAATCCTTTGCTTTCGTTCAAATTTCACGCTCTCGTTTAGCTTAACACAACCAATCAAATTGCGAGCACAGTCTTTAGGATATTAATTCTCGTTTTTGTTATTGATCATTGCTTGAATCCAATTCTAGAATATCTTTTTAGAGAGACACGACCCTAAATCGAGATCTTTCCCATACTCGGCTAAAAACTAAAACAATACATACAAAAATAGATTATTGGGAAGTAAAATGCAAATGCCCTTACACAGCCAAAATAAAAAATTAGAACTATTTCACATGTTATATTATATATATACCCATAATGTACAATCACAATAAAACAAAACTCATAAAATAAAATAAATATGACAAAACATTACAATCATGAAAACAAAGTGTTCACAAAACAAAAAAATCTCAGGGAATAACTCCCATGTAATGCAAACAACACCATTACCTCATCACCATCATCGTCCGCGGGATCATACAGGCGGCCGGCCGCCACCATCTCCGGCGGCAAGACGACCCCACGGCACAGCGGACACGTGGCAGACTCTCGCTGCAGCCACGTGTCGATGCAGTCCTTGTGGAATGTGTGGTTGCACTTCAAATTTCTAACCTCATCCCCTTCTTCAAAGAGTGACAAGCACACACTACACTCCTCATGACGATCACGAGGCTCGAATGGTGACTCGGTTTTGTATATGTACTCGTGGGATTTTTGACCGATGATTTCAAGAAAGTGTTCGGTTCGTGTCGACTTTCTTCGGGTGGAGATTTTGGCCGCGCCGTGTAAGAATATTGCTAATTCGAGGAAGAGAGTGGAGAAGAAAATCATGGTGGTGGTATAGATATCATTCAAGAATTGAGATATGGTATCCATAGTATGTATGCAAGAAATATGAAAGAGAAATTTGGAGTTCGAGTTATATCAATATATATATACAACAATGTGACTCAGTCTAATCGTTAGGCGAATCGCGATCGACTTATTATACTTTGTTAAAAAGATATATATATATATATATATATTATGAAATAATTCTAACTATATGATTTTTTATTTTTTTTTTTAAATTATGACATCTTTAATGAACATATATATATATGTGTGTGTAAAAATTATAAGATCGGGCCAAATTATTGCAGTGGTTTGATAATTATTAAGCAAATTAAAAAGGTAGCTCGATCATGGAAAAATTTCAATTAAAGGTGGAAACTAATTTCGGTGATGAAGAGAGGTGACTTTCATTTTCGGTTGCCAATTATTAAAGTATTAAACTATAAAAAGTACTTAAATCTAACCAAGAATATTTAAAAAAAAAAGTCAAAATTACAATTTTAGTCATGTCAGTTTGATTCAGTGACGTTTTTAGTCCTAAAAATTGTACATTTTGCTATTTATTCATATAAATTTAAAATTCAATACAATTTTAGTCATTTGGGACTGAAAATGCAACTAAATTTTTACATTGCAGGACTTAAATTGCTAATTAAAAATTCATTAGATGAATTTAAGTCCTATGATTTTAAATTTTGTTGCAATTCAGTTTTTCGCGACTGAAATTGCAGCAAAATACTAAATTACCTGATCAAAAAATAAAAAAATACAAATTTTGGGACTAGAAATATTACAACGTTAAATTAAAAGGACTAAAAATGTAATTTTGCCTTTAAATAATGATGTAGGGTGACTTGTTAAGTCACTAGTAGGCATGCCAATTATTTTGATATATGTGCATCATGAGCGACATAAATGTGGTTTTTGACTCGGTATAACTCGGTGATATTATTTTGGTACATCCATGCTTATCCTTTCCATGGACTTGTTTTGAGCGGCCTCGAGTCAATTCATCAATTTTTTTTTTTTTAATAAAAGTGAATTTTTATATTATAAAGTATTATATTTTATTCATATTATTTTTAAATGATTATAAGATTTTAATTTAAATCATGTATATTAATAGTATGTTTTGTATATTTTTTTTTTTCAATTTAGTTTTTTTATAATTACTGAAATTGACCGAGTCGTTAAGTTTTGCAATAGGACGGATAAGTCAAACGCCATACATTTTACAGTATCTTAATATAAATAAAGCTTATTCTCAATTAGGCAATTTTTGTTGTAGTGACTATAAAATAAGTATAGAAATGTAAAAAATCACCCTCCCCCTATATATTAATTCAGAACACGTTGAGCCTACGTGGCTACGTGGTTGTTTCTGGTGCTTCGGAATCATATATGGCAAAATTACATGCTTCGTTATTAGGCTTGAGTAAATTTTAATTCAATTCCAAACCAAAAATAATTAAGTTCGGATTACCATAAATATATTGATTATTTATGGTCATGTTACGTGTATTAATTGCATTTTAATATGATTTCTTATTATAACTATTGAATTGTATATATATTTTAAAAGTTAATAACTTTTGTATTTTTTATCAGTTTTACATATGTAATATATCAAATTAATCTTCTTTTGATAAGTTTCGATTTAACATCCATATTGTATGTATAAAAAAATAATTTATATTTATCTTTATTAAAATAATAAAATTATTTTTAATATTAATTAGAAAAATAAAATTATTTATTAACTAATATATTTTGATTTAGGAAATCAAATGATAAATGGTTGAAATTGTAATTAATGACATTAATTTCATTCCTATCTGGACATAATCTTATACGGTATGTACCGACAGATAATAATTTTTTTTACCAATTTTTTGGGGTAAAAAGAATAAATTAATGATATATACATCAAAGTGTCACATTGAAACTATTACAAAGGATATAAAAATTGAACCTGCTTGATTTTGCTTTTGCACAGAAAAATCTTTCGTTCGAACAAACAATATTGTTACGAGTAAACAATTTAACTTTTTATCACTACAATTCAATTTAAATATCAAACATACATTTATAGAA